AAAATGGCCTGGACACCGGACGCTGAGGTAGCTTTCGAGCATATTAAATCGGTTTTAGCAGATACCGCTCGGTTAGAAAGGGTCGACCCGTCGTGGCCCATCGCAGTACACTGCGACGCATCGGCCGTTTCTAGGTGCTGTACTAGTTCAGACTGATCCGGACGGAAACGAGAGGGTCATTGAATACGCCAGTCGCACCCTTAAGGACGCCGAAACCAGGTACTCCAACTCCGAGCGCGAATTGTTAGCAATAGTGTGGTGTGTAACGAAGAAATTTAGACATCATTTAGTGCATCGTCATTTTCGGGTGTTTACGGACCATAAGGCACTTCTAGGGAAGCTGCAGTCCGAGCGTCTAATTAGTTTGAGAACCAAACTAGCCACTTTCGATTTCGAGCTCCTACACAGATCAGGGGCGGCACTGCAAGCGCCCGATGCGCTGAGTCGAATCTCGCTCAACAATGCCGCGGCCAGGGTGCAACCGCCGGAAGCAGATCGAATAGCCCTCATCGACGCGTATCATGCCGAACTCGGGCATGCGGGTTGGAAAAAGGTCTATGCGACCATCAAACAACGTTTCATCTGGCCCAGGATGCGTCAGGATATATGGCGGAGGATCCTCGCCTGTGAACTTTGCTTCAAGTACAATCAGCCGACGCAGACCGTCGGCGCTCACATGAGTGCCATTGAATCCAATCGACCGCGAGAAAGGTTAGTTCTTGACTTTTATGGACCTTTGCCTGAAACTGCCGAGCATTTTTGATACGCCATCATCGCCGTGGACCACTTCAGTAAGTACATGATGGCGCATCCCATAGAAAAAGCTGATTCCCAAACGGTAATTCCCTTTCTCGCCGAAGTTTTCCGCCAGTACGGTCTTTTTGAAATTGTGCATACGGACTGTGACTCAGTGTTTAATGGCAAAGCGTTTAAACATTTTCTGAAAGGATACGACATTGAGCAACATATAGCGCAGGCGTCGCACCCCGAAGGTAACAGGTGTTGCGAGCGCTCAATCCGAACGCTGAGCCAGATCCAAGCGAAGGCAATTCAGGGACAGGACGAACAATGGGCTCGGCACCTGGCAGATTCAGTAAAGGCATACAATAGCACAATACATTCCGCTACCGGTGTGACCCCGACAGAAGCAATGTTTGGCCGACGGACAATCCTGGAGGCCGACAACACCTTTGGCGCCCCGACATTGGAGGCCAACATCTCCCAAGAAGAGTTACAACAGGAGGCCGAAAAACACCGCGAACGTTTCATTAATCAGGCGAATTCTCATAAATTACGGCATTTCAGACCAGGTGACATGATTGCGGTATTACATTGGAGGCCAACATCTCCCAAGAAGAGTTACAACAGGAGGCCGAAAAACACCGCGAACGTTTCATTAATCAGGCGAATTCTCATAAATTACGGCATTTCAGACCAGGTGACATGATTGCGGTATACCCAAGGCTACCAACCGTGGCCAAACATGCTGCAAATCGCCGTTTTCGACCGCAGAGAATTGGACCCTTCATGGTGATATCGCACGAGGGACAGGGAGTCTACCACGTGGGGGCAGGTCCTGACATCCGCCGTGTGAACGCGTGGGAAATCGTACCCTACCGCAGATTACCGAGAGCCCCAAACGCTGGTTTTGAGAAACAGCTGGGACTCATCGACCACGCGTCTGGCAAGGAGAACGTCATAACCAAGGATGACCATCGCTATGCTCAGGATCCAGCGCGGGCGCCATCAAACCAGCAACTTGAAATGCGGGCTGAACACAACTATTGGACAGTGAAACCGCAAGATGCTAATAAGCGGAACAAGGTCCGAACAAGCGCGCGGTCGCGAAATCGTTCCCAAGGGGTTCATTTTCATAATTCCTGAAAGAACCGTTCTTTCGCGGGGGGGGGGGGAGAGTAAGGGTGCCCCCTCACATCTTCCAGCGTCATCTATCGGCCAAACCCGTAACTGACCATTCATCCCACCCATAATCGCGTTATCTCACCGATGATCTGAAGGCGCATAGGGGGGGGGTGACTTGGGAGACGGCTTGGCGTCACTTTGCTCTGAATGTTTGACTTGTGAACATCTCCTTTTATCACCTGACTGATTGATTATGACCTGGTGCTGTGAGATTATATGACGTGTTATTAGAAAACGTGCGTCGAAGTCTTACTCTGATAGACAATGCCTTATTCTACCTTACTGCATGTACAGTACTTTACCTGGTATATTCAAACGGAACTCGATTCGATCGTTTATCCTACTAAAGTAGATTAATAAAAGGGCAGCAGTGTTATCACTCAAATTTTTCGGTCGCCACGACTTTCTCAGCGCATTCCATGGTGCCATGTTATCAGAAAAGAATTCGTGCCATACAGATCTCAACATCGCAGAATGTCCATTCTTGTGTATATGAACAGAGCCATATAAAACCAACAGATCACCCTCTCACTCACAGTCATCAACTCATGATAGAATCAATAATATCATTTCATTTGAACGGAAACTTTCAGAAACCGCATGTGATTTCCTGAAGCGAGAATTATAGCATTCAACGTCGATCACCGAATATTTAGGTATACGTCACAGATCTTTACCACTTCGCCCTATACAAAACGGTATGGTTTGAATTTTTAACACAAAAAAAACATGTTTGGACCGATGAAGTTTCCATTCCATTAAAACCAATTGACTCTCCGTCGAATTTCACAAAGGTGTTGAACCGAAATAATATTGACAGTCAATATTTTTCACAGCAGTGTTTCACCCATAAAACTCCCATCAGGTGACGTACGAAGTCTGATTGCTTCGAAGCCGGTCGCAAGCGTTGAATGCGGTCAAACAAGCAAAAAAATATGTCTCATGTGCGGTACCTTGTTATGGAATTGTATATGTAAGATATACGGCTTTCAACACAGACAAAGAGAAGGAAATCCTGGCGCGGAAAGTTTGCTCATTTTTCACGTTGATGTAAGGAAACGCGGAAATTTCGGAACAATGCCACAAGGAACAATCTGCTGAATAAATAGCAAAGGACGCGTAACCAAGCTCATGCAAAGACATCTATTATTGAAGATAATTTAAAATTCGTAAACGTTTATTGTTTCTTTTATTATGCGTCCAAATCCATTATTGTATTCAAGGGCAACAGACAAATAAACTTGGCGGGGGACTTATAGTAAATGGAAGTTCATCATATTTTTCAAGGGCAGACTCGAGTTCTAAATTTTCCGACGACTATCTGAGGAAATGCGTTTTATAGACGTACTTATCTTCGTGAATTCTTGCAATTTTCTTCAAGTATTGCCAAAAAATTCCCATGATGCAAATGATACTCCTTTTCTGGAGAAAGGACGAAGTCATTTAAAAATTGATTTCTTGTTCATCAAGGTTTTTTCCTTATAACAGTGTTAACTTTTCTTGGTCATTCCCGAGCGTATATCAATTTTTGTTTCGGTGAATCGAGTTCGGAACAGTACTTTTAATGCTAGATTCATTGAAGAAAATATATTCTAAAAATCCCCAAACTCACCATGAAACAACTGAAACCACCAGAAAGAATTGCTGACTTTATTCTTGGAAATTTAAGAATTCAAAAAAATGTTTTAATTCAAAACGCGAAAGTTACATTCCAGGTCTGATTATGAAGTTTCCGATTATAAACGTACTCAAACTCGAATCCATTACTCGAACCCTTTTTATATCCTCTGATCGATCAAATGTCACGTTTCATGGCTAACACATTAAAGTATAGACTATTCAAGGGATTTTCAGCGAAAAAATTTCAATAAGTTAGGCCATGCACCAATTGTTCATCCTTTTTGAATTGCACATTTATACGTAAACAAATATTCGATTAACCTGGCCAAAGAACCCGAATTATCAACCCAGAAAAGGGAAGCTTATGTCATCCACGCTCACATTTAAAGAATTCCTCATTTGTCAAGTCCCGCGACACGAGGATGAAATAAATGTCGCGTGCTCATTTAAGTCTAACCCGTTTTCGCACTCGCAAAAATCCGGCTTCCTCGTCTGCTTCGCGAAGAATAAATGGCTTGAAAAAATGGGTGAGTAATGTCTCACACATTCTTCACACTGCTGTACTTGCCTGTTTTGTTTCCGAGGAAAGAGGTGGAAGAGATGAGAAAAGAGGAGAAGGGGGAAATTACAGGCAAGCAGGATGAGGAGGAATATACTAGTGTAGGAATAAAAATAAAAACTCGGCGCTCACGCGGCGAACCGCACGCTGCGATCGTTCCCCCAGTGTACTCGTCCCTCGTGCGCCGTCCCGCGAGGACGGGCTCCGGAAGTCGAGTTCTTATCTTGGCAAACAATTCGCGTGCGAAGCTCGTAACGTGGCTTTTCTTCCATGTCGCATCTTTTTCTGTGGAATTCTGATCAAGAGACATTTTCCGAACTTGGATTCCGTTTCCCTCCCCCCCCCCCCTTAAAACCTGCTCTTTTCTTTAAAAAAATCGAGTATAAATATATTCGCCACTATATCGTGCAAAACCCCCCCGTGTGCGATAAGTGGTACCAGGAGTTGAACTGAGAAAATTGATGGGGGGGGGGGAATCAATGAAATAAACTCATTTTATGTTTGAGAAATTGTCTCATATTCGCCGCTATATCGTGCAAAACACCCGTGTGCGATACGTAGTACGAGGAGTTGAACTGAGAAAATTGAGGGGGGGGGGGGGAATCAATGAAACAACTTCATTTTTGTTGGTGAACTTTTGGAGGAAATATCGTGCAAGGCGAATTCAGGCAGTTGGTAAGAAATTGAGATGATCGAAGAAGTGCGTATAATTCCTCGTTTATTCAGTCAAACTTTCAGATGCCTGGTTCAATCATGAGTTAAAACTAAAATTTGCGGAATTACGAGTGATGATATGACGAATGTATGAACTTGAGTGGAATTTTCTTGAATCCGTAAAGAAATGTGGTTCTGAAGTAAAAAAAAAAAAAAAAAGAAGCAATGCATGAACAACATTCAAATGAAGCTTGCAATCGACCATCGTGACACGACTTCCTTTCGTGTATTCCATCAGCCGTTTCTCCAAGAAAGGCTTGGCAATTATGCATTAATTACCATCGCATTCGACAACATCTTGAAATCAGGGTAATGAGTGGATGTCTTTCGCAGATAATGGAGCATATCGATTTTTTAAAAGATAATTGAGGTACGTGTGGCGTGTTTTCGACAAAGGTATGGTTCAATATTCCTTAAATTCCTGAAAGCCCCAGGAAAAGATCCGCACAGTACAACATGATTTCGTTCCTTTCTATTGCAAAACACTTTTGTTTCGAAATTTTTAAAATGTTTTGGAAGTCTTATCACGTCAACAAATTTGCATGTGCAGTACTGCGTTTCCTCGTGGATTTTGAGCCATTCTGGCCCAAATTGAGATTATGACGGCCAATTATTTTCTCTGCTGAAAATCGGATGATATGATACTTGATTCAAAATAAATGAAAGGTTTTCATGGATGATTGAGATTCTGCTGAACTAGAAAATTCCACATTTGGCAGGACGCTATAGCTGGATAAATCTGCGTTTCGCTGCTGTGTATCTTGATTAAAAGTATGATACTTTTATCGAATCGCTTTCAAGCATTTTTACACCTTCGTATTCATAAACCTGCGACTGAAATAACCTTGTGGCCCTGCTGGAAGCCCTTTTTTTTATTAATCGCATTCAAAAGTTTCAAGTATTGCTTACGGATCAATCGTTCCTTTCTTCCGTACCTTTCTTATACTGTATCTTTTTGTCCTTGTATCGATATGCTTCCTTTTCATTTAGTAGTCGTGTGGTGCACAAGGAGAGGGGGGGGGGGGGGCTTGGGAGTCATTGGTGGTGAGAGAAAACTCGGTTTGATAAAAGCGAAAAAATCCCTAATCTAATCACACAACTCCTGCGAGCGAACCATGAAAGCTGACGCGGCGGCGCAGGTGCACCAATGTTCTCCTATATAGCAGCAGTGGTACTGGCAACCATCCAACCGCGAGTGTCCACTTGAGGTACCATTATAATGTGTCCTCTTAAACCTCGAGTGATGAGTCTTGTGTCGTTGTGGAAATCGGTGGTGTTTTGCTTCAGCTGCAGCGTCCAAACTTGGATTCTGCCCTCCCTTTTTTTCCGCCAATATTTGCCTTGAAAAATTGAATGGAAGTGTCCTGATGCAAAAAAAAAGTACCAATGGGTATGAACTGAGAGACTGAAGAAAAGCGACGATGAAACGAACTGAATTCTGTGTTGTGACTGCAATGCTAATTTCTTGTCAAATTTTGGAGAAAATCTATGAAAACTCCGACTGATTTTCAGTGTTTTGCTCTCCATCCAGAAAATTTATCCAAAACTTGAACCCCAATTAATGAAAGCCTCGCAGAATACTTGATTTTAATTGTTTTCCAGTGGACTAAGGCTGCCTATTACTTTTGCGATGGATAATAAATCCGTTTTATATTCAGACTGTGTGTAAATTTACTAATTGTCCATCAAAAGAATCCATGTTGATGCGGAAATAATTACGAACAGCATCATTTTTCGAAAGAATAATACGCTAACTTTATAAGTTTTGATTCGATTGTGTTCCGAGCATCGTTTCCTCGATTATTCGTGATTTTGTTGATATTTTATATATTTTTGTTGAAAATATAATTCATTCATCATGGATTGACAATATAGATTTTCTGGCAACGTGGAACATACCAAAATACCGTAGTTATCTCGTGAAATAGATCAACATTTCTGAGTTAATATAAATTTAGGGTATTAAAAGTGGACTCTTCTTCTCTACAACGATCTTGTCTGCAACGATTTTCTCCCTACAACGAATTTGTCTTGGTCCCATCGTAGGTCTATCTCCCTATATTATAGTGTTTTTCTACAACGAAATTATCTCTTCAACAAAGTTTTTCTGGTCTTTTGAGTTTTGCTGCAAAGTGATTCCACCAAGAACTACACACTGGAAAGGATTAAGTTTTAGTTACTCAAAGTACCATTTTGCAATTCGACAAATGTGTATATTGTATTGTTTCGTATTTGTATTTGTGTTTCGATTTGTATATTTTATCTTGAAATCAAGAAGCGGAGCGATATTGGACCTTTTAATCGTGTATGCCTTTTTTTTATTTCCACTGAAACTTACTTCTTGCCGAGATCAATCGTCTGCTTCCCACCCTTTCTTATTTCCTTGCATCCTCGTCTTATAATAACTTCCTCTCGTTTAATAGTTGTGTGGTGCACAAGGTGGGGGGGCTTGGGAGTCATCGGCAGTGCATAAGAGAGAAAAATTTGTGTGATAAAAGCGGGGGGGAAAATCCCTAATCTAATCGCGCGACTCCTTGCGAGCGAACCGTATTAAAATCCGACGCGCGCGGCGCAACTGTGTTCTCCCATCATCATCATCATCATCATCATCAGTGGTATACATTTTATATAGTGACAACAACATTCCATCCCGCAAGTGTTCCAACCTGTGGTGCCAGGATGATGACGATGACGACTTCCACCAGGAGTGACGAGTCTTCTGCTGTCGACGTCGGCGGTGTTGTCATGCAGCAACATCAGCAGCAGCAGCAGCGTCCGCAGTTGCGCAAATTTTTCTCGGCCGACCTCACGCTGCATCGCGGCGACGAAGCCCATGCTTCCGAGTTCAAATACGGACCCGGGTTCGTCACCAGACTCCGCTCCAAGTTCCAGCAGCAACAACTGCATCTCCTCACGGCAGCAACCTCGCAAATCAGGTCATCCGAAGAACCCCATCCCCAGCAGCAGCGATCCTTGCGTCGAGTGGCCAGTCTCGAGCACTTGCTGGACAGTCCTCATCAGAATGAAACGCTCTGTGACCCAGCAGCACCCAAAGAGACGCAAAAGTCCCTGAGCATGGAGGCCCTGGCAAATAGTCCGTGTCCGATTTGCGGTCAGCAGGACGAGAACCTCCCGCCTGCCAGTGCGACGAGTGCCTCATCGTCATCCTCGACAGTGCAGTCCATCAAAAAGCTTTACGAACACCGAAGCCCGGCCAAGAACAACTACAAAAACACGCTGCAGCGGAACGTGAATGTGCCCAAGTCCACGTTGCGAACCCGTCTGGACTTGTCTAATAATAGCAATAATAATAATACTAATAATAATGGTCAAAAGCCGATGATTCCCGCAAAGCCCAAAAGCATCGCGGGAAGCAAGAAATCCGTCATCGTCGACGCTCAAATGACGAGCGACGACAGTGACGACAATTCAGTGGGATCGAGTGCTGACGAGAGCAATGAGGTTTTGGTGATAAAAAAGCGGGTGTCCATGTCTGCCGTGGAAAACATCCGTGCCGGTGGAACCACAACATACTTCAATTTTAACTCGTCTGCCGAGTCCAACTTGAAGCATTTGCCATCAGCAAAACAAGTCGGGGTCATTCGTCCGATAACAAAACTCGAGGCTGCTCATAACAAGATCAACGACCACTTGAGCAAATCGTCGTCCGAGAAGGACGCCAATTTTCTGAACAAAATCCAGGACGAGTTCGGCAAACAGCGCCATCTGCAGGGTCAGCAGAAAGAAACTATCATCATTCCGAAGAGTGAACTAGAGCCGATTGGCAGCATTATTTTGAAGACCAGATCCGGAACTAATGGTAATCAGGAGGCCATCAAGAAAAGTGGTCCCAAATCAGAGATGCAGTCCAAGCCACATAAGCCGGAAGAACCGGAAGTCAATAAAAAATCTTCCCATATGAAGAAAATTGAAGCAATTGTTAAAACGGTAGTTTTGAAAAGTGCTTCGCCGTCTGGGCAGAAAATTCCTTCGAAACTTTTGGAAACCTCGTCAAAGTCTGACGCTGCTCAATTGAAAACAAGTCCCCAGCAGCAGAAAATCGTTCCGACGTCTCCAATGAAGAATCAGTCAAACACAGCAGGAATGTCGTCAAAATCCGAAGAAATTCCAGCAAAACAGATTTCGCAAAAAGTTGTTTCTCAACCACCTGTGCCAAAAACCCCGGCGCTGCCGAAAAAAGAAGCTCCAATCGTCGATAAGCCAAAATCGCCGCCTGGTGGTGGTGGTGGTGGTGCAGAGAAATCTGCGGCTGCTGTTGTGCAGAATCAGGTCCAATTGCCAATTGCAACGTCTTCGCCGAAAAGTGAGCAGAAAGTGTCGAATTCTGCTGGAATGCCCACAAACCCTGGTTTCCAAAAGGCCGCAAGCAGCGAAAACGTACCGCTTTTAAATCGTCCCTCGTCTGCGGTCACGCCGAAACAAACTGCCAATAAATGGCATCAGCAGCAGAACAACACACTGCAGTTTAATTTCAGCAACCGGGAGTACGTTCCAGACTACATTGAAAATGATGGACTGGACTTGTCCAAACGGGCAGCAAAGGTGAATATCAATCTCTCCATTCTTTTATTTATTTATCCCAAATAATTTACCGTACTTGTATATGATCGATTAAACAGAGACGTTTCCTTTTAAAGGAAATTATCAGGTTATAGACGAGGACGTGTAAACAATTTAATCAAAGCCCATTCGATGATTTTTCTAGATAATTTCAAATTTGATCGTTTTTGATGCATCCGTTTTAAAATTGAGAAGATATATAGACTTTCATTTTTTCATCAAATGCTGGCAGGACTTGATCAATAAAGCTGGGAGTCCATCACCATCCAAATAATTCTCATTATATTTAAAACTTGGTACATTTGAAGGAAATTATTACATTTGAATTTGAAGGAAAATATTTAAAAAATTATCGCCGAAAAACCTTGAAATAACACTGACCAAGCCTTGGGCATGTTATTCCATATTTTATAGAAGGGGTGTGAAACTTGAACAACTTGTGCAAATTCCTTTACCCTTTCCAGAAAGCATGTGTGACAATTTCAATCAGGAGCTTTTTTCCTCGTCTGTGCTGGTGGTCAGACCGATTAAAAAAAAAAATGGGACATACCTTGAAATAAATTTGGAAGGAATTGATCTAAAATTTCTGATCCCGTGGTAGTTTCAGGAAAAAAACAAGTTCAGAAATTGTTTCAATTTTACGAGTTCATCCTGTGTTGTTCAGTGGATTTTTACAAAATTGCTCATGAAAGCTCCTCTTGCTTTCTCTCGTAACTTATTCGCCCAAAAATATTTATAAAAACTATTTTTCAACAAAATGTCGGTGTACATTTCAAGGATTTTGAATACTATTTTATAATCTTACCAGCTTTAGTTCTCGCTCGTTTTGTTTTTTCACAAAATACAATACTATTGGGTTTGCAAATACTGTACAGTACAGTACAGTAGTTGTGATGCGTCCTCTTCTGTGGAAATCATTCCGCGGGAATTATTTCGAACACCATGGAAAAATGGATGAGGACACGCTTTTTTAAATCAATTTGAATCACTGTAGATGGTTTATTCTCTCAGTTTTGTAATTTTCTTTAATTGACGTGAACATTTCAGAAGTGGTAGAATGTCCTGATTGATTCTCTCAACTATTGACTGATTCTTACTTCAGCATTCCGTCGTTAGCGTTGACTTCGTCGAGGCTGCGTGATATTGTACAAACTCGAGACATTCGTAATAAGCACACATCAGCCAAGTTTAAAAAGACGGTCTTCGGTGAAAGTTTTGTTTACTTTTTCTGGGACAATGTCCACTCTACCATGTTTTGTAAATCGTGCTTGAAACTGAACTTCTCACCCAAAAAAAAAAAAAAAAAAAAAAATTGTTGGAAATGTCAGAGTCGAACATGCTCGNAAAAAAAAAAAAAAAAAAAAAAAAAAAAAAAAAAAAACTGGTTGGAAATGTCAGAGTCGAACATGCTCGCATCCAACGTACAGTAGATTTTTTTTTTTACATTGTCAATCTTCACATCTTGAAAGAATTTAGTAATCGTGGAAACCATGCATGTTCAATGTGAACAAAGCGAAAGCGACTTTGGAAAAAATCGAGAGGATTTTTATTGGGTTTAAATATTGAAATGGGATGGTGACTTCGATTATCCGCGTTAATATTCGCTTGTTTTCTTATGTTTAGTCAATAAATAAATAATGTTGGCGACAGATCCGAGTTTCATTAGTTTGGATCCATTCAATCGTAGTACGGTGTTTATATTTTTCTAAATCATCTAGAAACTCGATTTAAAATTTGCGTCCCGTGAATCTGAAGAGGATAATCACTGTTCATTTTACTTTTCTTACGTCATCAAGATAATTTTCGAATATTTAGGAGCCACATTCTGATTCGTATTTAACATAACTTATTTTGATTGTTTGGCTTTCGAGCGAGTTGAGCTCTGAAGATGTTCGGCATTATTTTAAATTTGCAAAATCCTCGGATTTTTAAACACTCTCGACCATCAATACAGGCTTTCGTCACATGCATGAACAAAATGTGATGAGAAATAAGTCGGAATGAAGACATGGCTTTGCGAAACTCGAAAGATTTCGCAGATTATGAAGAAGAATCGGCAGGAAAAAATGCAATATTTCTCAATCAATTGTTTTTTTTAAACCAGTATTTCTGGGTATTGTTCTGAGTTTGAATCTTTTCGGCAGACCAGCCTCAGAGGAGGGGTTCTATAATAAATGCGCAAGTTTATTTCAAAGTGATTCATAGCAAGGACTAAACATATTTAGAGGACTTCAAGATCAAGTGTAATTTCCTTGCTGCCCTTTTTCCCAATATGGCTAATCTTGTCCATTGATCTCGTGCATTTGAATGTGAGCACGTCCGACGGCGGCCGTGAAGCCGGGCATTTTTCGTAGGCGGGTTTCTTCCTCGTATGTTTTTTGTTGTTGGAATCCCAAGAAAACAAGCATTCCCGTTGTCCGTTTTATAAATAAGCAAGCCTGCGACTTCATTATCATGTCTGAATCTTTTAACAAAAAAATCATTAGAATACTAAAAGATGGCCTTGTCTTCCGAATGACGTTCGCATTTGGAATGCGTGGTAGGCGCTGTGTCGAGATGAGCTTGCGACCGACCGTGCAGCCATGCAAGTTTTAGGACGTGGAATGCTTTGATTGCTGTTTCAACAATATTTATTTTTCTTGTTCTCGTGGTTTTTATATTTTTGTCATTGCGGTATAAAAGGATCGGCGAGGTCGAGGTCAGGAGTCTCAGGACTGACCTCCTCAAATGCCAAATTGGGGTTTCTGAAATTAAATTCGGTTGATTTTGCATTGCCCACGTCGCTCTTTTTTTTTCAGAAGAGAACAATCCTTTACTTTGGAAGTTGCTGATATATTTATAAATGAAAAAAATGTCTCGACGATGAACTGATGCATAATCTATATTTGTTGAATGCTTTAAAGATTGCTGTCATATTACGTCATACTTCTTAAAGTTCGATTGATTGAGAAGAGCTCTCTGACGCAATGAAGACATGCTGGTGTACAGATTAAAATTTTGAACGAGCAATTGGTAATTTTGCATTAACCAATACAGTATACATTTACATCTTCTTAGCATTCGTCCATTAACAGTTCTTCGAAATTCCTATACAGAGGAACTGACTCGTGATGGCTTGCGAAACTGTAATACTTCTTCAGAATCTCATCAGTTTTATATCCAGCATGGTGACTAACAGTCATACTTTTTCCCCCCCCGGAATTACCGTACCTAACTTCTGAATCGATGATTCAAATTTTATGAAACACATTTTCAGTAAAAAAAAGTACTCGAAATTATTTGGACGAAGAAGTCGGGAAGGGGGTTTCAAAAATATTAACCTCCGAGTGGAAAATATTCGAAGATCACATTGAATTCAGCACATCGGCACGACGATATTGTATAACATTGTGCGTTACTTTGAGCTAACTTGTGTGTAATTTTCATTTATGAGATATAATTTTGAGAAATTAGGTACAAGGTACATATGATATCAATTTACTGTAAAATTCGGCAGTTTGGAATGAGGATCTTGGTCCTGTCGCGTATTTCCAGACAGCTATTGAAATCTGGGAATAAAGAAGGCGCTTATTATGAACCAATTTCTTCCTGCCGAAGTGTATATGACGTTGGCTTCTTTCTATTTGTCGGAGTGAGTTGGTCGAATCAATAATTTCTTTTGTCCCAACGCCACAAAAAATGTTTATGCGTGAAGAAAATAATTTTATTGATCATTCATGCGCAATTTGCACGAGCGTCTTTTCTTTGCTGAGACTCAATCTGAGCAGCAGGCAAAATTTCATTTCTGCAGTTGAGAGGATTCAAAAGTGTTTCATTATTCCATTTCTTGATTCTGCATATTATGCGGATATCTGAACCTTGTCATTCGTTCGAAATTTCACTCGATTTGTCAACATTATCAAACCACGAGATTTTTTTTATTTGTAGTCAACTCACATATGGTTTTTGTTACAAACGTTTTTGAGAAACCTCCGACTGCTCGAAAGTATTTACCTCGGGCTCTCGGTTTTCGGAAAATTTTAATTAAAAGGACATAGTTTCTAAAGCCTTGACTTGACATGAGTAAGAGGTTTCAATTTATGTTCAAATATCAATAGAATCGCCCGTTTGGCAATACAATAGCCGAAAACCAATTCGTTTTTTGCGGTTCTGTGAATTTTTAAAGAATACTGTAATCGTGGATGAATCCAGTGAGAAGTGGAACGAATACGCGTGTATTGCCCCATGAAACAAGGCGTGCGAATTCCTTCATTTATTATCCTGCTCGAGTTGAAATAGAAAACTTCGAATGGAAACCCGAGCTTAATTTGCTTCACAGATCATCTCCTTCATTTTCCTTCATTTTTCTTCCCGCATTCATGAGCTGCTGCTGGCGCATGTTCGTATATTAAGACAGATCGCGAGAACCTGAGACGGGATATAAATTATTGGGCAAAGAATCGACCAATTTTCCTCGGTACTGTATTGGCTCAGCGTGAGTCATTCTACCAAAAGTATTTGCTCGGCGGCGGGAGGTGGAATCGCATCGGCGATCGGCGACGGCTTGTTTGTCAACGCTCACGTATATTTCTCGCCTTTATTGTTCTCCCTGATGATGATGGTCTCTCTTTTTTTTCTCCATATGCTTTTTTTTTGGCGCATGAAAGCGATCGATGGCTGAGGTCTTGTTATTTCATTGACTTCGTTGGGCCGATTTTTTTCTAGCTTGTTACATACTGTATGAAAGTAATTCGCGCGCGAACAAAGCTCGCTGTTATTTACGCGCGCAAGCAAGGTCGAGAGTGACATACCATATGTGACTTACGGATAATATGCGATGCTACAAACGACTTTACTACTCTTTTAAGGACCGTAGCGTTTATAACTTTCTATATGCTTATAGTATTGCTGACAGCAGCCGTGGAAAGACAAAATTAAATTAACCGGGCTTCAATTTACTGAGGTATTCATTAGCTGTTCCATATTTCCGGTTTTCTGCGAGATTCAGATGAGGAAGTGATAAGCAGCTTGGGTATTTTTTAATATTTAAACTGTGAGTATCAGGGCTGATTTACTGAGATTATGCGTGAATGTAGGTGATTTTCTGAAAGGTTTTACATTTTTCTGCATATTTTGAATGTACTTTTAGTGCAATGTTGGAGTGCATGCATGGGTGAAGGTACCCGGGATTCACTCAAGAAAGCAAATTACTGTAATTTTTTTTCGAAATTCCAGGCTATGAAAATATTTAGCTCAAAATCGATTTTCAAGTGTAATATTGTTTATGTTTCGTATCAAATAATTTTATGGATTTCTGTTTTTCATGTATATGACTTTCACTGATCTCCCTGCAGGTTCGCCTAGCAAGAAAAATGAAGTCATTTTATGGCTGCTTTTACCGAATTATTTCAACTGGCTTTGTACTGATTGAAATTCTTGATGTAATTCATTGTCTTCTCCCAAAATTTTGACGATTTAAATTGCTGAAGATTTATTTTATTTTATTGCATACATTTAATTCGAACTTACTGAATATCCAGAAGTTGGAATTGTACAAGTTATTGTGGTACTGTATTTCCAACATGCGATTCTTCATCGCTATACAATACTATATTATAGCTTTCAAAAGGTTTTAATGATTTCATATTTAGTGATTATTTTTTTATTTATGAATGACCACTGTCGTCCTTGAATTTAAATTTGAGTCACAATGCAGTGCGCCTTAAAACTCTTAATTTTGGGGTTAGACAAAGCTAATTGCTCCTGGCTGCCTACTCTACCTGGAACTTTTCAATTAGGTGCATGACATATCCGTACTTACTTTACGACTGCAAGTTCAATTTCGAAACAAAAATTCACTGAAGGCCGGTTTTACACATAAATGGATGGAATCATTCACAATATGGTCCAAAAGAACTGTTTTCTACCGCGAGAGAATACAGCATTTTCTCACATACCCCGGGGATATCTATTTTTAAAAATTGTGAGGGAAAATGGGGTAGCTAGGTATCAAATGTATCATGATCATTTTCATACCGATAATCGTTAATACGGTTTTGTCAGAGGTTACTGTTGACGTTTCATAACATTTGCATTTTTTTCATTTTGATCTGTTGGACAAACGTTGTTGTGAATTGCACTGAATAATTCTCTCTCTCTCTCTCTCTCTCTCTCTCCATATCCAGATTAAATGTTGTTTTTATGTTCTTCCGCTCTGTCAATCATTTAGCCATTCAGGTGATCAAATGTTTCGCAGCAGGAACCATTTTATCAGTTTGACACACGCTGGTTTGAATTGCGCTCAATTATCCTCGCACCATGTTCAGATTAAAATTCGTTTCATTTTCTTCCACCCCTCGAATCATTTAGCCACTTGTAAAGATGATCGAATCTTTTGCCGGAACCAATTTCTTGTTTTAATAATGGTTGAAGATAATTTGGACTCACTATTAATTGGTTGAGCTTGAATATCATAAGCTCTATTCTATTCTTCTTTTTTTTCAGATAGTGGATACCGGCGTAATTCGACTGGGTGGGGTTAGTGGCGAAAGCGGTACAGATGAGGAGGACCAGATTTTGGCCCGACTCACCATTCGTCCACCATCGCCATGCAACGTGGATTTCATCAATGCTAACATTATCATTGCTGGCAAGTCGTCCATGAAACAAGGAGTGTCAAACAAAAAAACAAAGGCGAGTCTCCACGTTCCTTGTCCATTCATTTCCGTTTCCCCTGCTGTCTCATCAAACTGGGACAAGTCTGAGCATGAGAAGTACTCGCGAAATTTCCCGACGAGGTGCTAAACTCACCTTCGAAGTATTTCATTCAAACATATAACTGAGTTGTGGGGAAACCCTTTTTTTTTTTGGGCAGAGAAAAGAAGTGGCGAAATGTTTGAGCTGCCGATCGTAATGATCAATTATCGCGAAAGGAGTTTCTTCTCCAGAATGAAAGGGAGGGCGTTGATCCAGTGAAAACTTGGTTCGGTCCTGACCCGTTATCGTGATTATACCAATTTTCTATGATGAAAGATGGGACAGATTCGAGGAAATGAGTCGGAAGTAGTTTTCTTCGTGACTCGCCTATCACTCTAAGAAGCCGCGTCAGGCTCTTACGTTGCTTGGTCTTGGGATATGCATGTTGGGCTTTCGGGCAGTAAAGACTCGGTGTAAAAGCGCGAAAGCTGTGTCTGAACTCAGAGAGAGAGAAGGACTGTATGATGATGTGGGGTGAAATTTAGAGCGTGCCTTTATTTTGTGGCGAGCCAGGAAGACGGATTACGAAGAACGCTTTCACGCTGCTGTTTTTTCCGGGAAGCGCGTTTTTCGGTCATGTTATAGGCGAAGGGAGGAAAAACATGAATAGGTGTGATTTCTATTTTTTTTTCAAGGAAAGAAAAATTCCCTGCGGATTTCGTGGGAATCGGGACAAGGGAGTAAATTTCCTGAAGCCAAGAAGACGCGTTTCTTTTGGTACACACTGATGTGACACTCTCTGGCTAAATACCAGTATAAATCGTTTACGTTTCTTCATTCTCTTCTTTCTTCCCCATGTACGTGTTTTCTTTGATTCGCCGAAAGGATTCAGTATACCTTCGGAATTTTGCCGAAAACATGAGATTTTTTCCTTGATATTAAATATGTTGAAGCATAACTTCAAAAGTCACAGGAACTGGATCCTTCGAGCAAATTAGCTGCTCCCGCCTGAACCCATATATTTAAATCTGAAATCATCGATAAGTGCTCAAGGATATTAAATATGTTGAAGCATAACTTCAAAAGTCACAGAAACTGGATCCTTCGAGAACATTAGCTGCTCCCGCCCGAAGCCAGATATTCAAATAGCATTCTGAAATCATCGATAAGTACTATTTGTTTCGAGCGACAATAAATGCGCGCGTTCGTTCCAGCTCTCACTGTATGGTATACACTGAATGCCTATTATACGCTACGATGTTTGCTGAAATGATGAGAAAATTCCTGGCATCGCAAATATTGAATCTATATGCTTATAGTATTGCTGACAGCAGCCGTGGAAAGACAAAATTAAATTAACCGGGCTTCAATTTACTGAGGTATTCATTAACTGTTCCATATTTCCGGTTTTCCGCGAGATTCAGATGAGGAAGTGATAAGCAGCTTGGGTATTTTTTAACATTTCAACTATGAGTATCAGGGCTGATTTACTGAGATTATGCGTAAATTTAGGTGATTTTCTGCTAGGTTTGACATTTTTCTGCATATTTTGAATGTACTTTTAGTGCAATCTTGGAGTACATGCATGGGCGAAGGTACCCGGGATTCACTCAAGAAAGCAAATTACTGTACTTTTTTCTCGAAATTCCAGGCTACGAAAATATTTAGCTCAAAATCGATTTTCAAGTGTAATTTTGTTCGTGTTTTGTATCAAATAATTTTATAGATTTCTGTTCGTCGTATGTATGACTTTCACTGATCTCCCTGCAGATTCGCCTAGTAAAAAAATGAAGTCATTTTATAGCTACGTTTACCGAAGTATTTCAACTGACTTTGCATTGATTGAAATTTTTGATGTAATTAAGTGTCTTCTCCCAAAATTTTGACGATTTGAACTGCTGAAGATTTATTATATTTCATTGCATGCATTTACTTCGAACTTATTGAATATCCATAAGTTGGAATTGTACAAGTTGTTGTGGTACTGTATTTCCAACATGTGATTCTTCATCGCTATACTATATTATAGCTTTAAAAAAGTTTTGATGATTTGATATTTAGTGTTTATTTTGTTTGTTTATGAATGACTACTGTCGTCCTTGAATTTGAATATGAGTCACAATGCAGTTGCGGAATTTTGAGAATTAAAACCCCAATCTGTTTCGATTAACGAGGACCGACGGATGAGATGGACCTTGAAAAGTTAATCCACGTACTGTATAGGCATGAATGAAATGCTGACGTTCAAGTTAAAGCTTCGTTACTTTTCCCTATTTCTGATGCTCATCATGCTGATTTTATTCTTTCATTAATGTCCATACGGAATTTGGAAAAGGTCCGAGGTAAATATAGTTGATCGAATTGAGAAATAGATTCGATGTTTTCATTGAATTTGAAATTTATTTACGCTTAATTGAACGTACACTCATTCAAAGTTTGGGTGATCGTGGTTATACTGCTAAAAAAAAACACGGAACCTGCTGATCTCATATTTTTCCTCGATTTGAAATGTTTTTTTTTTTTGTGGAGCTGTATTTTTCTTCAAAATTAATTTTAAAAAAAGTCGCGTTTGCTAAAATGCATTTAAATCGTCAGAGAGCACGAAAAGGTTCTTCCATATATTTCCGGAATATTTTAAATGGTTATGAGTAGGACAGAAACGTGCGGACAATTATTCTTCGTTTCCTCTTTCCGTGTTCAATTAAGCACCATTAGCTAACGTTATTTTGTTCTCACGGAAAGGGCTGCAATATACGGATGAAATCCGACTTTCGGGGAACCCAGACAGTAATGAGTTTTCCTTTGGCAACAAGCTTTAATAAAGTATAGACAATGCTGTCATAAATTAAATTCTCGAGAACACGGGCTCCTTTTTTTTCCCCGGCTCTCATTGCGTTCCTTTAGAATGGTTTTCTGTGTCACGCTACTAGTGTCTTCGTAACTGCTTCAGGTTTCCTCCCTACTCGACGATCTTTCTGGAAGAAGTTCATTTTTGGGTCCGAAAATATCGTATTCCTGAGTTTTATTTTGGATTTGAGCGTTTTCTTTATTAAATTACACTAGAGATGACCATATTGTAAATAGAATATTTTTTAGCCGTATTCGAGAATCCAAGAGAAAAATTAAACGATATTGAAGTACTGTCAGTATTCGCTCGAATTTTTTGAGCTGGAAAATGAAATGAAAAAATTCGAATAAAATGCATGCGATCACTTCAGTAATAGGGTCAAATGTTATACAACAATCGATGTGGCAGCTTGAAAGCAGAGATGCATTTCAATTGCCTGAGGAGTTCTCTGATTCAAAAATCATTAAAACCAGCGCGGGAACAAAGCGTCGGTGTTAATTTACTAAGGATTTCTTTCAAGTATTATCCTGGCGAATAATTTATTGGAAGTTGCCGTGCAAATTTCTCGTGCTGCGATGCAATTTCCTAGGTCAGAAGTCAGAACTCCGTTCGTCCTAACTTGGTTTTTAGATCTTCGACATGGTCGAAACGAACGTTTTTATTTATTATTCATTTTATTTTGTAGCTTTCGAATTACAGTGCCTTCAATTACTTTTACCGTCCTAATTTATTTAAAAAAAATACACGTTCCCAAATTATTCTTGTGGTTCACTTTCAACTATGTGTTCTTTCTATTTTAACCTCTTTGAAATAAATTGGCGCAACGGCCAGGAAATTATTTATTACCCAGTAAATATTATACGCCCAAGTCTTTCGCAGGACTGACAAAACCTTTGAACCGAACATCATGCAGTACTGTACTCATAAATTACATACTCGGCTTGTCTTGCGCAAATTCTGGCGTTCATCTTCACATAACAACCGGAAACACGAAATCGTGCTTCCGATTTAAAATCCTTCGTGCCTTTTCCGTGAACCAAATTGAGTGGATGCATCAAAGGGACCGAAGGCAAGAATACCACGTGATATAAACGGTCATGTCTCAAGAACTCACGCGATTTTTCGAATAAATGTGGATGATCCTGATTAAAGGCTCTGCGGTGCGGGTAATGATGTCGTGATCTGATGTCTTTCCTTCCGAGTGAAAATAAGAGGAATAAGCCTTATTCTCTTCCTAAAAAACACTGCAATTTTGACTAAGAAATGAAAAAAAAGAATAATTAAATGTAATCCACGAGAGAAGAACGGAATTATTGCGTTGGGACTGCGCGTGATCACGAGCAGCCAATTAGCCATCCACTCGAGAGAATTTTTCGTCTTCTCGCAGTTGTCGGAGATCGGTAAATAATTACGGGCGAGAAAATTCTGTAATTGCAGCTCGAGAACGAAATTTCAGTCAACAGTCCCAAGTTTCCGCAACCACAGACATTCAGATCCTAGAAATAAGGAGGAAGATGCGATCTTTTGATGATTATCGGCTCAAAAGTCGTGTGATGTGCATAACCTTGAGCTTCCGCTATCCGTGAGATAAACATTTTCACGGAAGTAAGTGGTGACATGTTTTGCATGAGTCATTTCATTCTGCGGCTTTTTTTTTTTTTTGTGTGTGTATGTTCTTGGAAAAGCTGTGGTTTTAGTTTCTAGGTCAGCAATGATAAGCACGATGCATGTGTGAAGCTTGAAGGTCCTTTATTTAAGGTCCCATGCATCAAGATTGTTCACTTTTGGCGCAGTTTTGAAAAAAAATTTGATTTAAATTTGACTTCCTCATTGCGTTTTTTTTCGATTTCACCTCTTTTTCTTAATTTATTTTTGAATGTGTATTTTACGAATTAATCATTCAAATTCTCCAATTGGAATGAATTGTAATTTAATGGCCAGCGGAAAAAAATCAGTGATAGAAACCTAGGTCTTTTCGAATCGCATCTCAAAGTGCCAATCGCTTCTCATTATGGCAAATAAATAATTTAAATAAGAAGAACCTCGATGATCTGAAATTAATTCTACATTCGATCAGCAATTCACAATTTCCAAGCCTAGCAGATTTCATAAAAAACTTTCTCTGAAAAAATTACTTTGCCCGGTTTTCCAATAAATGATTCGAACTTGAAAATGTTCTTCAAAAACTCAAGTTGAAATTTTAATCACCAGGAAAAATGAAAATGCATTTAAAGTAAACTGCGATGTAAAATTAACGAGA